AAACACTGTCTCGAGTGTTGATATATTTAATCTTCTCAACAAAAACAAAAACTAGGGAGTAAAGGGAGAAGTAAAATTCTCAAAATCTATGCTAATTAAGAGCAGGTGTCCAAACCTCCTTCATGGTTGTGATTTTCCTTGTTTTAACTTGATGAATTATCAATTAATGAGTTTGAGAAGTTATGGAATACCAAGCGAGAGCTTGCTGTCTTCAGTCTTTCACTTTTAAAGTAAATACAGGAGCCATGGCAGTGGTTTCCAGTGAGTCCTTACTTCCCTAATCAGCAGAAGGGGTGACAGTCACTTTCCATTCAATGAAAAATTCTGTTTTAAATTTCAGAATTGTTAGTGACCAGTGGAACAGAATAAATTTATCAGGAATTTCTGGAAAACCTTGTAAAGTATACCCAAATGTTCAAAATTTCTTACCTGGAATTTCTGCTCCATTAATGGAAATACAACAGTTTCTGGCTTTTCTAGAAACTTTACCTGAAAATGTCTGCACCATTTGTTCCTGATTTGAAATTTAAGGAATTTTTGGTTGAATGGATAGCCCCCAAGGTTTTGTTCAATTTAATTTTTTTTGAAGAACTTCCTTTTTGATGTAGGCTTACAAATGAGGTCTGGATTCAATTTTACCAAGTTCCAGGTTCTTGGTTGAAACGTCATTATAATTGGACTCTGAAGTGAGCACCCTCTTTGTAATTGCCAGGTTTCAGAGGAAGTCATTACATTCCAAATAAAAAATTACCTCAGCCTCCTTCTGGGGTTTTAGTTTAATCAAATGTAACACCCTCTAAGAAATTGATAGTTTATAAAGCTGTAGTTTAATGGGGTTCTTCAGTTTGTAATAAGCAAGCAAGTTTAAATATCCAAGTTTTGCATTGTGAGAAGTTGAAATGGCAGCCCGAGAAGGCTGTCACGTAGGCCAAAAGATGATTTATCATTGAGTTATTGCAAACTTGACAGTCCTTAGGTTAGACAATGTATGAGCTCTAGAGAAATAACTTTTAATAGCAATACTCTATGAGAGATGTTTCTGTTACTTTACAGCTACCATATTAGCAACCGTCATATGTCTCTATACAAAAATCTTGCAATTAGAGTGAAACAGTTCTCAGAACGATGTGTGAATGAAAAACTACACAGACATAAATCTTGGCAAGGTTAATAATATATAAATCATCTATCATATTTTAAACTCTTAACTTGAGTTACTGAATGATTCATTTTTTATTTTTGACTGCATGACAGTAAAAACTAGCAATAAAAAACTCCTCCTTGAGTGACATGTTTTCTAATCAGTGTCCCTTCCTAAATGCAACCCTATTACAAAAGCTGCATATTTCAAGTCATAATTTGGCATAAAATAACCGGACAAGACAAGTGAATCACACTGAAGACTACATGTATGTCATGATCTGCTTTCCATATGAATGCAACATTTAAACATAAATTATGAAGTGATACAGAGAATGGCTGTATTACGCTATTGTACAGTTGTTGAGTTGTGTCATCTGTTGTTCTGCATTCCGATTGAGAAAATAAATGAGTGGACCATCCTTAATATTGTGTCCATGCTATCGGATAAGTGCCCTGCATTAAGCAGTGCAAAATGCTGTGCGCCCTAATTTATTCAACATGTTTAGTATTTACTGCTCACAGTGTCCCTGTCAACCCAGGAGGATAAGCAATTCATTGTGATGGTTTACTATGGGATTGCACACACAAATGTACATTAATCTATTCAGGTTCAAACATTTAGACTTACTTCAACTGTTGGGTTAAAGTTCTTGAAAGACATCCTACCACTTGGATAAAGTTCCTCACATTTGACATAACTGGGTTCAAACTCAATGCAACTTCTAAAAAAATTCAAAAATCTTGATTAGCAACTAATTTGTTAAGAAAACCACAAAAGCTGAAATGAAGTATATCGACACGTATCTCTGCATTTGATGCATGCTGTGTGGAGAGCGCAAGTGGACGATGCAACCTTTCAGGCTATCAGGTGTTAAAGGTGGAAATAAGGAACATTTAAGATGAAGTTATTTAGGAGAGTTGGCATCAACATCTCTGGCAAAACACATTAAATTCAACAGAGTAGGAGATGGGCCCAAACCCCCTAGCGGCTCATTACACGGTATAACCCTGAGAGGAAGACCTCACCTCTCCCCAACCCCCTTCTCCCAAGCACCCTAGTAGTCCAAGTAGTTTCAGAAAAGCTACCACATAAGGATATAACAAGCAACTATTTAATTTTATTAAGCTAACCGATCATCTTTTTCTTTCTCGTCCAGTACCCAGTGCGATTCTTCAATAGCACGTTGTCGCTCTTCTTCAAGTTGGCGGCGATAGTCTGATTCTGCTTTCCTCCTCATGAACTAAATATTAAAAAAGGGATGAGTAGTATTGAGCACAAGTACTTAATAGTAACAGTAGAATACCCTACCTTCATTTCCATGAGAGTTTTCGACAAAGTTTTCTTCGATGGTTGTGGAGCAACTTCGGCCGCCATGTTGAATTTTATTCTAGTTCCCAGTCCTTCGAAATTCTTTACTCCAGCTCAGCTCAGCTGAAGGCGCGCGCACTTTTTACGTTTTGCCTCCGGCTGAGTTTCCTTCAGGGAGTTAAAGCCATAACTTTGCTTGAAGTCGATGGGTAAACCCTGACTTCAGATTTCTCTGTTCTCCGCAATGAAATACTAGTGACAGAACAAGCTATCGGTAGAAAGCAATTGCTTCTGTATAACACTACTGTACGTTTGAACGCACGCTCACGATTGCACAGAACGACAATAAATGTCGTCACAAACGGCATAAGACGTAGTCTGTATATTTCACTGTGTACTTCATCAACACCGGCTATGGAGGAATCAGAGCAAAAGAAGGGGAAAACGATCATGTCAAACTATGGGCTGAAAACATACACACCTGAACAAGCCAAGGAGCAATGGAGGGAGAGCATGAGGGTAGAGATTGCTTCTTCTCTTGTTCTACCAGAATGATTTCTTCCTTCTCGCAAACTACCGGCGTTCATTTTCTGAGATTGCGTTATTTTATTACTTATAATTATTTTTTTATGAGATGACAAGCTGGGTTATTTTACGGAAAACTTTGTAAAAATATGCCCATGCAGACGCTAGTTATTGATAGACGCTGGTGGAGTTACACGGTTTTCTCTTGGTTGTAATTTTGGAACACCAGACACTTTTATTTTTATACCCTTCACTTGACATTAATGTACTCTCTGACATTTTCATTTTGTTGCTGTCTTTTCATTCTAGAGAGAAATCCTTCTTCGAAATTCGCACCTAATTTCTTCGAATTGCAGTGAGGCTCTTTCTAAAGCTTGGAAAACCAATTTTTCAAGGCATATTTCTTCAGACGCTGTGTTAAACTACTTTAACTCTAACAAGCAGGTGACCTGAGAAATTAAGTTTAGAGTACAACTACATTCTTAACTTGCAATATCCTATCAGGATGGTTTGCTAGTAATAATTAAAAAGTAGGATGAATTTACTAGAAGTCGATCTTCTAATCTCCGGCTAAACCCGGGATGAAATCATTCTATTTTTTTTGCGGCGGGAAGAAAGCGTGAAATTACATTGATGCCATCACTAGGTTTTCAGCGAAATAACTGTGGTTTGTTGCAGTTGGCTCTGGTAGTAGAAATTGTAGAGATTTAAGCATTAAGGAGAAGACCTTTACAGTCGAAGCAGAAACTATGCAGTAAGGTCATTTGCACTGCAGAGGGGTGAGAGGTGTGGCATATCCACGGAGAGTTGCTACTGAGTAGCCTGTGTACATCCCCAACTGGGGTTCTCGTCAGAAATTTTGAAAAGAACCGCTGAGAGAAACCTAATTTGCGGACGTGGATTGAAATTTTGTTTCACCCCTTAGAGGTACCAATTTAAAAAAAAAAA